GGCAGGACTAGGAGTCAAGGAGGATTCTGGAAATAGTAGTAAAGAAGTGGTGATGCGCAGTAAGTGACATGGCAGGGAGACTCATATATAAACCAGGGCAAGATGGAAGTGGGCCCCTTTTCTTTTCCTCCAGAGTCACTGTGTGATCCCGGGATGATGACGTCAATGGAAGGCATCCTAATAACGTAAGTCTTATAAAATATAGATTTATGGTAAGTAAGACTAACCTAACAGATGAGAAATCCTTGTAATTGGTCAAGCAGCATTTGAACCACAGTTAATCTCTTTTTAAAAGAAAAAAAGGGAATCAGATATAGGAATGAATTATTGGCATTGATATACATTTTGATTTATTGGTACAACCTTAGTGTCAATTTTGTGATATATATATATATATATATATATATATATATATATATATATATATATATATGTGTGTAGAGAGAGAGAGAGAGAGAGAGAGAGAGAGAGAGAGAGAGAGAGAGAGAGAGAGAGAGAAAGCAAGCTTTTGGTGTGTTTATACATACTGGGTCCTCATCATTTGGAATAATATTTCATAAATTAATTCTATATCAACAGTAGAAGGGGAAGTTTATACCTTTATCAAACCATGTTTCCCAGTATCACTGAGTCTAATAACTTTGTTTAGTGTGAGTTACTGTATCCTGTGAAGGTGAAATCTTTAGTGGAAAGGAATTGTACATCTCACTAAACCTGAGGGGAATTGTTTATTAGTCTATAATTCATGCCCTGCACTTGCTACAGCAGTAGTTCTTGGGCTGTTATATTGTTTCTGGTTGGGTTTGGTGGCGTATGAGTCTTTGACATTTCAGAGAGGAGCATAGAACAAACACAGAAGCTGTGTGTGTTGTGATTCCGCTGACCTCTTCTATGCACTCACTTAATTAGCTGTTTGCTAACAAGTTGTGATCAATCTGACTATTGAAATAACAAATACCACTGTTGGCATAAGATGGATGTGGTGTGTCACTCAGAGTTGGGAAAAACTGTTGCTTACCTATCTTGTAGCTTCTAAGGGCTAGCCTGAAACCTTCACTGGCTTATTGCAGTTTCTGTGGGCAGTTGGAAGCATGGGAACTCAGGAAAGCCCTTTCCTCCCTTTAATCTTGGAAAAGAACTTGTAGCCTTCCCATGTCTGACTGGAGAACACTACACCCTTCTGGGACTGGGTGTCAGTGAGGGGCAGTGTGGAGGGTGAGTAGGGGCAGAATTGGAACCAGCTTTCAACTCCTGTTATTTGTGTGTCTATGCCAGTCATCAGTCACACACTGATGAGTGAAGGAGAGCCTGTATTTTCTTATCACCAGTAGTTTATGAGCAAGCTGTAATTTGCAAAGATGAGGCTTCATTGTTGCCCATGGCTTATATATATTGATGCCTCTGTATCCCCACCATGACTTTGGCTACTTTTAAACATTCTAGAAAGACCAGTAAAAATAAGCCTTAATTAGTACAGGGTGTTTGAACATATGTTTTTTTTCATTTTATTACAAGCAGAGACTGTTAACAGTTAGTAATCAAGAGGATTATTAGTGTTTGACAAATTAATCCCTGTAGGGAATAAAGGAAACCATATAGTTATCATTATTTTGATATGAAAATATAGTATGCATAAAACAACTAACATTAAAAGTTTAATTTTTTTCCACAATAGAAATTGCTCTTTTGCCCTTTGCTAATAAAAATAATAAAGTTCTCAGATGGTGCTGCAAAAGTGCTGTGTTAAGAGCAGAACTCACTCATACTCTAAAATATGCTTCTCCACATTTAACGAAGTATTTTATCCATATTTTTGTAATCCCCATTTTCTTAAATACATATTTTGGATATAAGTGAGGAAATACAATTAAATGCCTATTCTCATTTTAAGCAAATCCTTGACTAATGTCATTTGAGGGTTTTTTTTTTTTTAATTTTTACTATCATATGCCCTGTGACTATAAATGCTTCCACTTTTCCAAAAATGTTCT